GCATCTCTCGCTGCTACTACTGCTGCTGCCCGCAGCAGCAGCACAGATTTGCTGCTGCCCACTCCCAGGCTATCTCCGTAACATTGCAGCAACAAGTTTTTCGCTGCAGCAGCAGCAAACGGTGTAGAGCTATTCCGTGCAGCAGCAGCAGCAGCAGCAGCAGCAGCAGCAGCAGCAGCAGGTTCTGTTGCTGCAGCGGCACAACTGACGGCAGCAAATGCAGCACGAGAGCATGGCTTTCCATTTTAACCACCTTTGCATCCCTTTTGCTGCTGTTTCCTAAACCCTAAACCCTAATTGAGTCTGGAAAGTTTGAGGGTTTAGGGTTTTGAGGTCCTAGGCAGCTGCAGTGGCTAGCTGTGGCTAGCCACAGCTAGCCAAAACGTGAGCCGCAGCTAGCCACACAGCTAGCCACAGCTAGCTGTGGCTAGCCGCACCTCGCCAGCAGCGAACCAGTAGAGCTAGCTGCAGCTAGCTGCAGCTAGCCGCAGCTAGCTGGAGCTGGCTGCATCTAGCTGTTAGCTGCAGCTAGCTGTTACAGCTGGCTGCAGCTAGCTGTAAATAGCTGCGGCTAGCTGCAACTAGCTGAGGCTAGCTGTAACTAGCTTTGGCTAGCTGCCGCCAGCTGCAGTTATCCGCAGTGCTAGCTGTGGCTAGCTGCGGCTGGCCACAGCTAGCCACAGCTAGCCAGTAGAACCATCCACTGCCAGCCACAGCTAGCCACCAGAGTTAGCTACAGCTGGCCACAGCTAGCCACAGTTAACCCCAGCTGGCCACAGCTAGCCACGGCTAGCCAGCAGAGCTAGCCGTAGCTAGCTACAGCTAGCCACAGCTTGCCACGGCTAGCCACAGCTAGCCACAGCTAACCACAGCTAGCTGCAGCGAACGCAGTCCTCCAAGGAGACGGAAAGGGGATCTCTGGTTTTAATACTGAGCCGGTGCTTGTCTAGGGTTTAGGGTTTTGGGATCTAGGGCTTAGGCTTTAGGGTTTAGGGTTTGAAGCTGGGGTTTAGAGTTAGGGGTTGGAGTTTAGGGTAGGCTTTAGGAGTTAGGGTTTAGGGTTTGAGGGATACGGTTTAGGGTTGAGCTCTCAGGGCCTAGGGTTTGGGCTTCAGAGTCTTACGATTGAGAGCCTGCGTTTAAGGGTTTAGGGTTTAGGGCTTTTGGGGGTTGAGGATCGGGGTTTACGGTTTAGGGTTTAGCGTTTAGGGTTTGGGGGTTAGGGTTTAGGGTTTGGGTTCAGGGTTTAGGGTTTGGTAGCCAGCCCGCCGCAGACAGTCCCATCCGAGGACCCGGGCAGCAGCTAGCTGCTGCTGGCTAGCTGCTGCTGCTGCAGCTAGCTGCTGCTGCCTAGCAGCAGCTAGCTGCTGCAGCAGAACATCTAACCAGTGGTGTTGCTGCTGGGGTGTATTGAAGACACCTGAGGTGTACATACACCTCAGCACTGCGGCTGTCTTTTTTGTTTAAAGACACTAAATTAGAATTTAGGTCCAGCAAAAATGCGATTCGAGGGTTTAAGGTTTAGCGATTAGGGTTTAGGGTTCAGGGTTTAGGGTTTAAGGGTTGTCAGCCCCGCCCGCCAGCCGCTGCTCTCTGCTTGGCGACGGGAAGTGAAATGAAAGCCCTAGACCCCAAACCCTGAACCCTAAACCGTAAACCCTAAAACCTGAAACTATGAACCATAAACCCTAACTCGTTTTTCCTGCTCTTCAGAAAAGTTGTTTCCGCTTTGTGGGGCCGCGCTCGGGCGACGTCCGCCCTGCCAAACCCCAAACCCTAAACCCTACACCCTAAACCCTCGACTAAACCCTAAACCCTCAAAATGCTGGCAGAAGACCAAAACGTCCCTTCGGCCAACAGCGAGGATGTCGCTACCCCAGTTTCAATGAATCCGATCAAGGCAAGTCCAAACCCTCCACATTAAACCCTAAACCCTCAACCCTAAACCCTAGGGGGCTAGCCAAAGGCCCTAAAGCCTAGGGGTTTTATTGCATGTGTTTGGGTTGTGTCCAAGCGCTGTTGCTGCTGCTGCTGCTGTTGCTGCTGCTGCTGCACTGCCGAATCAGCATTTCCGGCGAATTATCTTAGACACAGCAGCTAGAAACCCGGTGTCTAGGGTTTACCAGTGTTTAGTAGGGTTTATGAGGGTTTAGTAGGGTATATTAGGGTTTTCTAGCCTTCATATGGCTTAGTAGGGTTTAGGGTTTGTAGAGATTCATCAGGGTTTGCTAGCGTCTAGAAGCGTTTTCAGCACCTGCAGGCCATTAACTAGAGGTCCGAGTCATCAGAGATTCTTTCCAAAGTGTCCCGTCTACATATTTCAAGGGTTTAGGGTTTAGGGTTTAGGGTTTGCTGCAGTCGTACGACAACAGCCAGTGGCTGCACAGCCGCGGCGCGAGAGAAGTTCGAATCTTGTGCGAATATTTGGAAGTCCGGGACCGCCTGAGGGCTGAGGGTTTCGGGTTTCGGGTTTAGGGTTTAGGGTTTAGGGTTTAGGGTTTAGGGTTTGCTGCAGTCGTACGACAACAGCCAGTGGCTGCAGCCAGTGGCTGCACAGCCGCGGCGCGAGAGAAGTTCGAATCTTGTGTGAATATTTGGAAGTCCGGGACCGCCTGAGGCCTGAGGGTTTCGGGTTTCGGGTTTAGGGTTTAGGGTTTAGGGTTTAGGGTTTAGGGTTTGCTGCAGTCGTACGACAACAGCCAGTGGCTGCACAGCCGCGGCGCGAGAGAAGTTCGAATCTTGTGTGAATATTTGGAAGTCCGGGACCGCCTGAGGGCTGAGGGTTTCGGGTTTCGGGTTTAGGGTTTAGGGTTTAGGGTTTAGGGTTTAGGGTTTAGTGTTTGCTGCAGTCGTACGACAACAGCCAGTGGCTGCACAGCCGCGGCGCGAGAGAAGTTCGAATCTTGTGCGAATATTTGGAAGTCCGGGACCGCCTGAGGGCTGAGGGTTTCGGGTTTCGGGTTTAGGGTTTAGGGTTTAGGGTTTAGGGTTTAGGGTTTGCTGCAGTCGTACGACAACAGCCAGTGGCTGCACAGCCGCGGCGCGAGAGAAGTTCGAATCTTGTGCGAATATTTGGAAGTCCGGGACCGCCTGAGGGCTGAGGGTTTCGGGTTTCGGGTTTAGGGTTTAGGGTTTAGGGTTTAGGGTTTAGGGTTTGCTGCAGTCGTACGACAACAGCCAGTGGCTGCACAGCCGCGGCGCGAGAGAAGTTCGAATCTTGTGCGAATATTTGGAAGTCCAGGACCGCCTGAGGGCTGAGGGTTTCGGGTTTCGGGTTTAGGGTTTAGGGTTTAGGGTTTAGGGTTTAGGGTTTGCTGCAGTCGTACGACAACAGCCAGTGGCTGCACAGCCGCGGCGCGAGAGAAGTTCGAATCTTGTGCGAATATTTGGAAGTCCGGGACCGCCTGAGGGCTGAGGGTTTCGGGTTTCGGGTTTAGGGTTTAGGGTTTAGGGTTTAGGGTTTGCTGCAGTCGTACGACAACACCCAGTGGCTGCACAGCCGCGGC